ACTCTATAGATATTATTTTAATGTCATTGTCATTATTATTATTAATATTAATATTATTATTATTATTATTATGTTATTGTCATCATTAATTTTGTTTCATGCACCAGCTCATTACTAAAACTTAACATCTGTCAGTATCATTACTCTATCATTGCGTTTATTTTTACTTTGTAGTCTCTAAAATTGTAAAATTGTTTACACAGCATAAAAACTCATTTCACACTTCTAAGCGTAAACAAGGAATATGTGAACAATGTGCGTATAAAATTATTTTTAGTTTCTTGAATATGTGATTGCTTGAAGAAAAATTATTGTAAATAACATTAATTTTTTTTAATAATGACAAAAAATTTACAACTGGAGGTCAAATAATAAGTACGACAAATGAATGATTTGTGAGAGTTACTGTCTCTAAGTTTCTACTACCAAATGCTGATAAGTTTGTTTGCCTTGAATGACAAGTAAGAGTTTCTTTCGATGTATTTTTGAAGTCATTCCTAACTCGCTCTTCAGCGTGTCTTCATCTAGCTCGGATAGCAGCTGCCCGTCGACCTCTTCTCTCTCAAACATTTCTTTGTATTGGGACAGGTTAAGTTTATCCAGCATTTGCAATACCTATGAGAAAACAAGAGTCATGACAAGACAGTAACAGTGTGTAAGGGCCTTGTTTACAATCATTGTATTAGTGTAAGCAAGAGTAGATAATAGTTGTAAGCTAATCAGATAAATATTTTGGATTAAATAAAATTTCCCCATTGCATACATGGCACAAACATTGTACATGTTTTTGGCCAATGCACAGCCACACATAGTATATATATATATATAGTCATGATAATACTTACCTCCTTTGAAGACATTTTATATACAATAGAGTCTTTTGATGGGAGCATATCCACATAATTACCATTCGTAGTCTGAGGCTGAGCACTCATTGCTGACTGAAGGCTGTTTATTGTCTGCTGCAAGCCTAAAACATTAAAATAATATTAAATAATGCTATAAGAGTGTAATGGGATGGTAATAGTTAATTTCTGTTGAGTCCTCTAACTGTGTAATGAACATGCAGAAACACATGCTGTGTGTGTGTACATCGATCATCAATAGCTTTTCATTGCCTGCTTATCTTGAGGGGAACTTATGACAAGCAAATGATCGGTATGTGTGTATTTAAAACAGAGTACACATAATATTTGGAGCTGAGCATCAATTTTTTTGGAAAACTATCAAAACTCACAAACTTGAGGGAAACATTTAGCACAAACATCAAGGCATCATAGCGTAGAGAATAAACTACTGATAGTCACTGGAGATGCCAACAAAAAATTAAGTTATGTGTTTCTCTCACGAACATTCAGTATTTTCATTCAGACTGAAAATCATTTGGTGCTAAATGCATTACTGTAGGCCCATGTATGATGTCATCTAATAGTCAATGTTTGTACACTAAGAGTATCAGTGTTATCAGACAAACAATCCTTAATTCAGTTAAATGCATACCAGACATCAATGCATTACTATGTCACTTATTATTATCAATATGCCCACCTTCCATTTGCTGTCTCAATAGCATCATAGACCCCTTCATCTCCATAACGTCTCTCCTCAGCTCTTCAACATCAGGTGAATGGCCGTTCATCATCATTAGTTTTGACATCATGTACAGGGGTGCATCTTGCATTGGTGTGCCACTGTACGGTGGCAGTGGAGAGTGAGAGGGTGAACGAGATGGCGAATGCTTTGTTGACGATCCAAGATCCATGGCATAGTAATCATTGGAGTCACTTGTCTATATAATTGAATAGTAGTAGCAATAACTTAATAGTTTAAAGGAACTCATTCCCATATAGATATGTGTACTAGTGTAAATTTACGTAATGATAGTTGTAATTGTGATTGGCTCAACAAATTCCTGTCCCATCACCTTTCTTATGATAAGCATTAGCTATTACTTGTTTTTGGA